CTCAGTTCTGTGGAGGAGGCAGGCTGCCGTGTGTGAGCTGACTTGTGGAAAGGCCCACGTGGTGTAGTGAGAAGTTCCTTCTCAGCCTGGGAGGAACTGAGTCCTGCCCACAACTACATAAGTGAGTTTGAGAACCAACCCTCCCCCCACCCCCGATGGATCCTTCAGATGTGACCATGGCTCTGCTCACAGCTAAATGATGACCTCATAAGAGACCTAAAACCAGAAGCACCCAGCTAAGTTGCTATTGGATTCTTGACCCACAGAAACCATGAAATGATAAATGTTTGGGTTTTTTAGAATATCATGTTTTGTGATCATTTGTTTTGTTTTAATAGATAATATATGGGCCTATGATTGGTAGGCTCCAGGCTTGGCCGAACCCAGATGCTTGTGTGAGAACACCAGAAATCATCCTCTCTCCATCTTGAGGCCCAGCTATGCTCTGTGTTGGGTTAATTTTCAGGTGGGGTCACCTTTCTGGTGACAGAGTGGCTCTAGCAGCTCCAGGCTCACCCATCTCTTGCCATACCAACTCCTTGGCCCAGCTTGCTCACACCTGAACCAACCTAGGAGTCAGGAGGATATAGTTCTGGGATACGTGAGGCCTTGACTCTCCCACCCTGGAGCCTGGAATCTGACTCAAATTGAAAGGGATATTTAGCCAAAGGGAGACTGGGCTGCTTTTGTGAAAAGTGGGCAGGCAAAAGGAGCTACAGCCCACCAGGGCATCAGAATAGAAGCGATTAGAATTGTTTCTCCCAATATGAAACTTTGAATCCTGAGAGCAGACAGGGAACAATCTCCTGGCCTTTGGGCTAGGAGACATGCTGTGGAGAAACAGGGCCCTTTTCCCTGGAGGTGGGCCAGCAAGTCTACTGAGCTGCATGGTTGGCATTATGGAGTCTAGGCTTTGCTCTCCAGTGGAAGATGCTGCAGCCATCCCTGGTAAAATGGTCATTGGTGACCTTTGTGTTAACCATTTTATTTGGACCTGGACTGGCAATCTTAAGCTTAGAGGTGTACAACCATACACAAGGCCCCAAGCTTAGGACCAAATCAAACCCACCCTTGATTGTTCCTCATGATGTTCATTCCCGGGAGACAGTGAGGAAGCAAATCCTTTCATTTATTCCTCCTTCAGAGATGTGACCACTCAAAGATTACCTGGAGGTCAATACTACCTGGCAGGGCCCTGGGATGAGGCTGTGTAGCTCTGGCTTGGATGTAATGAGAAAACCCATTGCCTTCCTCCATTCTTCCTGCATCAGTCAGAGTGGGCAAGGTTATGCTGCAGAAACAAATAAGTTTCACGTACCAATGGATTAAAACAGCAAAGATTTACTTCTAGCTCATGCTGTATTGGTTGTGAATTGGTGAAAGATTCTGATATCATTTTCACTCACAGTCTGGGTGACAGAGCAGCCACTATCTTGATGGTGCCAGATCATATGCCAAAGAGGAGTGATCTCTGAAGGGTCTCAATGGGCAATTAAATGGTCCAACCAAGTAGAGACACATACCAGTTTCTCTCACAGTTCATTGTCCAGAGCTGGTCACATGCCTCTCCAAATCAGGAAGGGTATGACATATACCTCCCCTTGCCCTCTTGAAGCTTTCCCTGAGCTGTCCATCTCTGTACAAGTGTTCAACAAACCCAGTAACAAGTTTCAAGTAACAAACTTCCTTAAGGCTCAACTTGTTATAATGAGTAATCTCATCTCCTAGGAGCAGGAGATGATTTTATAATCTTCACAGTTGCCTTCATGCTCAGAACTTGTGAACTGGTCTAAAACATTGACTTGGATAACACCTGGCAATGACTTGATTTGTCTTCCCTTGTTTTGAATTCTTTCTTTCTTCTTCTGGAACGGCCTGGATCACTAACATTACCCTTTATCTCCTTATACACACAGAGGGAAATATGGGGTTAGATAGTCATCCCTTGCTTCCAGGACTCTCCCTCCCCCACCCAAGGATACCAAAATCCTTGCGTTCAAGGCCTTTCTATAAAATGATGTAGTATTTGCATAAAACCTATGTATCCTATATTTTAAATCGTATCTAGATGACTTATAATCCCTAATGCCATGTCTATTAGTCAGCTTTTCATCACTATGACAGAGAATCTGAGAAAATCAACTTAAAGATTTATTTTGGCTCCCACCTTCTGAGGTTTTTAGTCTTTGGCCAACTGACTCCATTGCTTTGAGCCTGAGGTGAGGCAGAACATCTTGGTGGAAAGGCATGTCATAGGAAAGCTGCCTGCTTCATAGCCACCAGGAAGCTGAGGAAGCAGAGACAGAGAGACAGACACAGAGGACAAGATATGCCCTTCCAGGGTAGGCCCCATTGGCCTTCTTCCTCAACTAGGCCCCACCTCCTATAGTTTCCATCACTTCCCAATAATATGCATGTGATCCAATTACTTCCCTCAAATCCCCACATCTGAGTATTGCTGCCTTGGGGATCCAACTTTCAACACATGAGTCTTTGGGAGTTACTTCATATCCATACCATAATACTATATAAGTCCTAGGTTAATAGTTGTTTTACTGTGTTGTTTAAGAAATAACAACAAGAAAAAAAAAGTCTCTGCATGTTCAGTGTAAATAAAATTTTTATGAGATTGGTTGAATCTGTGGACGCAGAACCCTTGGAGGTAGAAAGCCAACTGTACTTTGTAAACATATTTATACAAAATGAAAAACTTCTTCTCAGCAAAAGAAACAATCAATGAGGTGAAGAGAGAGACTACATTTTGGGAGCAAATTTTTGCCACACTCACATCAGATAGAACACTAATCTCCAGCATACATAAAGAACTCAAAACTCTTAACACCAAAAAAAAAACCCCAAAAACCCAATCAATAAATGGGCTAAGGAGCTGAGCAGACAGAATGTATATCTCAGAGGAAGATATACATTCAATCAACAAATATATGAAAAGTTGTTCAACATTTCTATTAATTAGAGTAGTTGCACTACTTTAAGATTTCATCTCACACCAGTCAGAATGGCAGTTATCAAGAATACAGACAACAATAAATGTTGGTGAGGATGTGAGGGGAAAATTACACTCATACATTGCTAGTGAGACTGCAAATTGGTGCAACCAATCTGGAAAGCAGTACGGAGGTTCCTTAGAAAACTTGGAATGGAACCACCATTTGACCCAGCTATCCCACTCCTCAGTCTATATCCCACCCCTCAGTCTATACCCAAAGGACTTAAAATCAGCATATTATAATAATGCAGCCACATCAATGTTTATAGCAGCTCAATTCATAATTGCTAAACTGTGGAAGCAACCTACATGCCCTTCAATAGATGAGTGGATAAAGAAACTGATGTATATACACAATGGAACATTACTAGCATTAGAAAAGAATAAAATTGGGCTGGGGTTGTGGTTCAGTGGTAGAGCGCTTGCCTAGCATGTGCAAGGCACTGAGTTCGATACTCAGTATCACATAAAAATAAAAGTATTATGTCCAACTACAACGAAAAAAAATATTTTAAAAAAAGAGAATAAAATTTTGTCATTGCAGGTAAATGAATGTGGTTGGAGAATATCATGCTAAGTGAAGTAAGCTAATCTCAAAAAAACCAAAGGCTGAAAGTTCTCTCTGATAAGTGGTTGCTGATCCATAATGGGTGGGGGGGGGCATGGGAAAAATGGAGGAACTTTGATGGAGCAAAGGGGAGGGAAGAGTGGGAAGGGGAAATGGGGGCGGGAAAGATGGTGGAATGAGATGGACATCATTACCCTAGATACATGTATGACTGCACACATGGTGTGACACTACATCATGTAAAACCAGAGAAATGAAAATTTGTGCTGCAATTATATACAATGGATCAAAATGCATTCTGCTGTCATATATACCTACTTTAAATTAATTAATTAATTTTAAAAGAAATGGAACACTTGCATACATATCTGCCAAGAATGCTCATTCCTACTTTATGGACAGATGTATTCTTAAAGAGGGAAAGAGCATGACCAGGACTTGAAGAGAACTACTTTGGTGGTGAGAGCAGAAACAAGAATGCCTGCTGTGTGAATCATGGGGAGAAAAAGGAAGTGTGTGGCTTTTGAGAGGACATGATAGATGGGGAGGCAACAGGGGCAGTTGGTTGAATAGAGATTTTGTTTTCAGGTTCCTTGAGTTTAGATCTCAGCTTCTTTGCTTCTTAATTGCATGACCCAAGGCAAGCTACTTCTCTGAGCCTCAGTTTCCTATCTCATAAGGTGGTTGTGAAAACCAGACAAGATTGTACACCAGTGCCCTAGTGCAGAGCATGTGTGCAGGACTGTGCAGCCAGCCTTCGCTATCAAGTGTGGTCATGATAAAAAATGGAATTTGATTGCTCTCAATGGCTTCTTATTCATGGTTCCCATGGGAATGATCTGTTTATGTTCCTGTTCTTCATGTGACCCCTTTGTTTTACCAGTTGTATTTCTTTTTCTCCATTGTGTTACATTCCGTAAAATACCTCCAAATGGGGAAAAATATAAGGCTATCTCCCTCTTCCTCAGGGCTTGGATGCCATATTGGGGTTTCCATCTCCCCTGCCCTGGATCTTTCTAGAACTGTGAACTTCTTGAGGTGAGGTTCACATTTCATTTCCCTCCTGCTCAGGACTTGCATAGAATCATAGGTGCCTAATAGGATACAGGGGCTCCTAGAAAGGGGCGGGGTGAATGCACCATATAACGCCTTCGATGACCTCAGAACTTTGCTTCCAAGCCTCACCTGTAAACTGCAATGACTTTATGTGGGAGCTCAGGCAAGGAAGTTTGACTTGGGAACCTTTTCTACCAATGAAGAATGAAGCCAGTGTAAGGTGAGTCCTAAGAGTGACGGGGCAGGGGGCATGGTGCCTTATGGACCAGTCTTCAACGGATAGGGTCTGTCAACAGTGCAGAAACTCTGCCCCCAGATAATCTGCTAGACACCAAACCCTCACTTTCATCTCTCCCTGTGCCCCTGCAGTCCATGAGCCTCATTGAGATTGGGAACCCCTCTCAGAGCCTGGAGAACGTCTGTCGCTGGGCATACCTGCAGCAGAAGCCAGACACAGGCCATGATGAGTATCACGATCACGCCATCTTCCTCACTCGGCAGGACTTTGGACCATCAGGCATGCAAGGTGAGCTTCACCCCTGCAGGTAGAGGAGGGGAGCAAAGCTGGGGATGAGCCAGTGGTCTTGCAAGAGGACCACTCAGCAGTCTTGACCCTTGCCAGGGAGGAGTCCCAGGGCAGGGAGGGGTTGTGGCCCCCTTCGCTGGGTGAGGGTTTGTGTTGGTACCACCAGAATTTCTGGTGTTTCCCCCAGAAACTGCAATCCTTCACCCCCAGGGTCAAGAAAGATTCAAATAGAGGCGGAACCTGCCAGCTCAAAAATTAGACAGTGTCTGGGGGCTGGGGTTGTGGCTCAGTGGTAGGGCGCTTGCCTAGCGTGTGTGAGACCCTGGGTTCGATCCACAGCACCACATGAAAAATAAGTAAATAAAATAAAGATATTAAAAATAGTTTAAAAAATTAGGCAGTATCTGAAGATGATTTTTCAGAGCCATATGCTTCCACTGGTTTCTGAAAAAAAAAAAATCTGAATAAGTTGCCAACCTTTAAAAGTTTAGAGATTTTTACATAAAGATTCGAACTATATAAAACTGACAGATCTAAAAGAAGAAATTGACAAGTCTACCATCCTAGTTAAATATGACAACAGATAAGAAATTGGCAAAGCTGGGGCTGGGGTTGTGGCTCAGCAGTAGAGTGCTTGCCTGGCATGTGCGAGGTGCTGGGTTCAATCCTCAGCACCACATAAAGATAAATAAATAAAATAAAGGTACAGTGTCCAACCACAGCTGAAAAAAAATGTTAAAAAATTTTTAAAAATTAAAAAAAAAGAAATTAGCAAAACTAAAGAAGTTCTGAATTAAGAAACTTGACCTAATTGATAGGTCAAGTTACACTTATTTCTGGATATCTTGGCTTGTATTCAGTTGCACATGGTACCAGTTTAAATTTTTTAGTTTCCATTTATAGTGAGAATATAGAAATTCTATACTTCTTGACTATTAGAAAATAAATGATCATATAAATAAATAAACACATGAAAATGTAGCCAAAGAAGGGCTGGTGTATAGCTTAGTGATAGAATGCTTGTCTAACATTTGCAAGGCCCTGGGTTTCATCCCCAGCACTCAGAAAAGAAAAAGAAAATATACGAAAACAATGCTGGACCTAGAGAAATATCAACAAAATGTAAAAGATCAAAATTATGTGTTGTGTATTCCTTGACCACAGTGGATTAAAAAGATGAGAAACCTTAAATGTTTGGAAATTAAGCAGTACACTTATAAATAATCTATGGGTGAAAGAGAAAATAACTGTAGAAATTAGAATGTATTTTTAAACCAATAACAATGATGATTTGACATATTAGATTTTGCGTATACAGCTAATTATGATTAGATATTTATACCCTTATGTGCATTTATAAGGAAAAAAGACTGAAAAGTCAATCACATATGCATCTATCACAAGAAATTAACAAAGAACAGAAAATTAAGCGCAACAAAAGTAGAAGGAAGGAAATTATAAAGATAAGGGCAAAATTACTGAAATGAAAAACTGCAGTAGTTAAAAAAGAAAAAGCAACAAAACCACTTTGGTTCTTTGAAAAACATGGATTAAAACTGAAAAACTCCTGGCAATGCTGATTTTTAAAAAAATTTAAAAATGCAATTCAGAACATATCCTACAGAATTTTAAAAGCTAGTAAGAAATTATTTTGATCAGTTTTATGCCAAAGAATATGTTAATTTAGATGAAAGGAAAAATATAAAATCTGAGAAAATAGTAGAAAATCCAAATAGTGTCATATCTATTAAGGAAATTAAATTTTTTAATTAAGATTTTCTTTAAAGTAAACTCCAGGGTGTTATAACTTTCCCAGGTAAGTTTTCCTAATATTTGAGGAAGAATAATACTAATCACACACAAATTTCTAGAGAATGAGAAGTTACATTTTCCAACTAATTTTATGAGAACTGCATAAGTTTGATAACAAAATCTGAGGGCATTAAAAGAAAAAATATTCACAGTCCAACATCCCTCATGAATGTAGACACAATGTACCAAACAAACTATTAGCAAATCAAATCTGGTGCCAGAGTATTAAAAAGGTACCATATTACAGTGAATGTAAGTTTATTCTAGGAATACAAGGTTCATTTAATATTTGAAAATTAATCATTGAAATTCATCACTTAGCAGAATAAAGAAGAATGATATATAGTTATCTCAGTGGGTCCCAAAACAATATTTGAGAAAAATCTAGATCCATTTATGATCAAATGTTCTATGGGACTAGAAAAGAAGAAAAATTCTTTAATATAGTAAAGAGTATTTGCAGAGAACTTACAATAAATCCATATATAGTGATGAAATGTTGAAAGCCCTTCCTCTAGGCTGAGAATGGGTCACAAATGCCTGCTATCACCATCTCTATGCAGCATTGTGGTAGAGATTCTATCCAGTGAAATAAGAGAAGAGAAAGAAAAATGAAAACGTAATGATCACAAAGAAAATTAGCAAGCTTTCATTTGAAGATGATATACTTGTATATATAGAAAACCCAAAAGAATAAATGAATAAGATTATTAGAATTTCTAGTTAGTTTGATCATGGTTGCTGGAGATAATGTCAACATACAAAAATTGAATTTCTACATCCTAATAATAAATGGAAACTAAAAATTAAAAACTAGTGCCATTTACAATAGAATAAAAACCAGAAAATATCTAGGAATGAGTACAACAAAATATGTCCAAGATCTAGATTAGAAAACTGTAAAACATTTTTGAAAGAAATTATAAAATACTAAATAAAGGAATGGATATGCCATGTTTATGGATAGGGAGACTCACTAATGTACAGTTAACAGTTTTCTCCTAATTGATCTATAGAGTCAATGCAACTGTACTCTAGGGCACACCAATGCAAGTTCAGTTCCAGCAGAATACTTGGAAGATATTAGAATCCAATTGATTCTAGTATTTATATACAAATTCAATGGGCCAATAGTAGCCAAGAGCAAATGACTAAGAACAATGTATTCAATACTTATAGAATAGAGTGAAGAGTATATTTTTAATGCAAGGATTGATACATCATTAGAACCCAATATTGAGTCAAGAACTGAACTTATACATGCATGAACACTTGATTTATTGCAAAAGTAACACTCCAGAGTAGAGGGCAAAGAGAGCCCTTTTAAAAAATAGGAAAAGAAATCAAGCTTGACATTCTATTTCTCAAATATCATCTATATACAAATATTACTCATGTGGATTTTAGATCTAAGTATAAAAAATGAAATAAAACTTGCAGAGGATAATCCATTTTGAACATCCCTAATCTGAGAACCTGAAATCTGAACTGCTCCAAAATACAAAAGTTTTTGAGCACTGACCTGACACCACAAGTGGAAAATTCCACACCTAACCTTATGTGATAGGTCACAATGCAGGTACACTAAAAATATCATATGAAATTACCTTTGGGATATCCATTTAAGGTATACATATGCATGCGCGCGCGCGCGCGCACACACACGCACACACATACACGAAACATAAATGAATTTAGTTTTGACTTGGGTCCTATCCCCAAAATATCTCATTAATCTCTTTATATATATTCAAGTATCCCAAATCTGAAAAAATATGATATATGAAACATTTCTGGACCCAAGCATTTTGAATAAGATCTACTCAACCTGTATTGGAGAAATATCTCCATGTTCTTGGATTAAGAGAAATGATTTTTTTAAAAAGAGACAAAAAGTTCTAACTCTTTGGAAAAGATTGGTAGTACTACATTAACATTAAACCTTTTGTTCATTAATCCATGAGGGAAATATTTATACATCTGTCTAATAAAGGACATACCTGAAGTTTATGAAAAACTCCTGCAGATCAATAGTAATAATAGTAATAATAATTAAAGAAACCAATCCAGTAGAACAATGAGCAACAGACTTTATCAGGCTCTTAATAAAATACAAATGACCCATAAATACATGAACAGGTGCTCACTCTCAGTAGACATTAGAGAAATACATTTAAAACTACAATGAAATACCATGACACACCTAATAAAATTGCTAAACAAAACAAAAAGACTGACAATAACATGTGTCAGTGAGGTTGTAGATTAGATCCCCCTGAAATCCATGAAGCAAATTGATGTGCCCAGCCCGTATAAATTTCAGTGCCAACCTGGGAAACTTAGCAAGACACTGACTCAAAATGAAAAATAAAAAAGGTTGGGGATGCAGCTCAGTGGTAGAGCACCACAGTACCATAGATAGATAGATTAGATAGATAGATAGATAGATAGATAAATGTGAAAGGTCAACCAAGGATTTATAAGATAATAAAAAAACAAAACAAATTTACAGCAGGAAATGAGATGAACCAAGATGCTTGAAAACTTACTCCAGAGAAAATAGAGCTAATTCAGAGAAAGGAAAGAACATTTTATAAAGTAGTATTCCCAGAATATTTGAGAAAAGACATCCACAAACTCAGAATAAGTTGATATGAAACATTAAAGAACAATAAAGGATTTTTATGAAATCAGGACTATGATGGGTAAATTTAAAAATTCTAAAGCAGAGCATTCTGAAATTTGGAGGAAAAGGACAAAAAGACTGAAATAAGAGAAAGTTAGGAGATAATAACATCTATCTAATAAGATTTCTAGAAGGAGAGAAAAGCTACAAAATAAAACAAGGAAAAAATAAGTGAAGAGACCTTTTCAAATCTTTCAATTAATTTTTTTATTGACAGGTAATAATTGTGCCCTTTTTTGATCTTAAAGGCTCATGCAACACTAAGTGGGATGCATGAAAAGTCCTCCACACTGAGGCACATATTCACATGCATGCTTTGCATTCCTAAGGGCAAAGAGATCTCAAAGTTCTGCTCCAGCATACTGATTTAAGAACCATTCCCTCTAAATATGCAGAGTGAAAAGTAGACCTGTTTATTCCAAGAGGAAAAGGCACTGGTTCATATTTTTATTTTTACAGACAAGTCCCAAAGCCAGCATACCCCAGGCCAAAAAAGTCATCCTTTTCTTCTCCCCTTCTCTTTCCTCCCCCTACCCCTTCCCTTCCTCCTTTTCTTTAAACAAATTGCCTTGGTATCTCCCAGTGGCAAGAGTGAATCTAGCTTAAGGTACTGAGAATTGGGGCTGCATATTTGCCTGGCTTCCAGGGTATTTATTAAGGCCCCTGGGTATTTATGTAAGTAGAAGACCCCTTTGATACACAAAGCCCTGCATATGCTTCACCCTGCTGAGACGAGAACCAGAAAAAAACATGGGAGACCCCAGGAAGACCCTGCAGAGGAGATAGGCTTGGAGGATGTAATGCCAGAGAAGTGAAGGGCCAGGATGGCTCTAGCAGAGTAAAAGGTATGTAAATTGTGCTGCTCAGGGGCCAGAAAGTCACTCCACAAGGTAGAAAAGTGAGAACAACAGGCAGGAACTGCCAAGGTGGCAGACAAGTCCTAGCAGAGGAGACCTGGACCAGGAAACTGACCCCAGCTACAGGAAACTGTGGACTTGAGCAAGCCAGCTGGCTTCCAGGCTTAGATGGTGATGGTCTGGGGACCAGTGGCATGGGGTGGGTGTCTTCTGAGGCTGTCTGGGCAGAGGGCAGTTTCTGCTCATTTGCCATGGGAATGGGTCCTGGAGAAGCAGCACTCGGGATGCCCATCTCCTTTAGGCTTTTACAGGGTCTGGGGCTGCCTCAGGCAGGACTCTGGGCCTGGGAACTGGAGCCGCCTTTTGTCTCCTCTCAGGCTATGCTCCTGTCACCGGGATGTGCCACCCCGTCCGCAGCTGTACCCTGAACCATGAGGACGGCTTCTCCTCAGCATTTGTGGTGGCCCATGAGACTGGCCACGTGTAAGTGGCCTGGCCATCCTTGTTGTCTGGGGAAGGTCGGGGCTTAGAGGGAACACCCCAGGATCCTCCCCTGGCTGCCCACTTCTCCTCTATGTCCTGAAAGGGACAGCTGTGGATGAAAATCACTTGGATATGATATCCTGTCATCCTGGACTGCAGGGATATCCTCTTTATTGAAGGAACAAATCAAAGGAGGACGCACCTAAGGGCTGCGAGGCTGCTTGGGGCCAGACAGGAACTAGAGTCCTTATACCATAGTCCCATGCAAGCCATGGGGCAGGGTGGACTCATTGCCCCCATTTTATAGATGAGTCATTGAGGTAAGAGATGCTTGAACAAGGTTAGAAAGCCATGATTCTGCTCAAGTGTGCATGCCCCAGGCATTTCTGAATCTTGGGGCTCAAGAGGGGTTGGTGGGAAACCTCACAAGGATGCTGGGGCTATGCAAGGGAGAGGGCTTGGGCCCACTCTGATAAACGTGTAGGGAGAATCCTTGGGACTTTAGGGGCCGCAGATGCCTCTGCCACACAGTGGCCCTCCTTGGAGACAGGATACCTGAGACGCTGCATGCTGGATGCCTCTTCCCCAGAATAACTCTGACTTAAAAGAATCTAACAGGTGGAAAGTCGGTACCACCTGGCTCAGAGGAGGTCAGCTGGGAGGAGGTTGAGGGATGCCCTCCTAGAGTTTGAGTACGGTGTAGGTGGCAGGTCAGTGCAGCCAGGTGAGGACCCAGCCAAGCTACTTTGCTCCCTGCACAGGCTGGGCATGGAACACGATGGTCAGGGCAACCGCTGTGGCGACGAGGTGCGACTGGGTAGCATCATGGCGCCCCTGGTGCAGGCTGCCTTCCACCGCTTCCACTGGTCCCGCTGCAGCCAGCAGGAGCTCAGCCGCTACCTGCAGTGAGTACCTCAGGGATGTTCCCATGGGTGACCCTTCAGTCCCTGGGCTCAGCTCTAGGAGGGTGCAAGTCCTGGGTGTGCCTGGGTCTAGCCTGAGCTCCCCAATTTCAGGTCCTGCAGTGTGAAGTGCAGGGGATAGAAGAGGGTGCACTTGCAAAAGTCTAATATTGGGGGCCCCAGTCTTGACTGGCAGGTGAACCAGTCAAGAATCCATGCAAGCCAGGTCTTGGTATCTTCTACAAAGGAAAAGTGTTACAACAGGGAAACTGAGGCAGCACATCCAAAGGCTGGGGCACGCGGGCAGCTCACCATGACGGCGCCAGAAAGGGCCTCAGCTGCCTTATAGGCTGCATGGCCAGTTCCACTGAAAGCTGCTTATGGCACCCACATGTCCCCTCACAGCTCCTATGACTGCCTGCGTGATGACCCCTTCGCCCATGACTGGCCAGCCCTGCCCCAGCTCCCAGGGCTGCATTATTCCATGAACGAGCAGTGCCGCTTCGACTTTGGCCTGGGCTACATGATGTGCACCGCGGTGAGTGTTAGCACCCATAAGCCAGTGGCACCTCCGGGGACTGTGAAGGGGGACCCTTTCCTGGATCCTGCCAGGCTTCTCCACCTCACAAAAGACCCAGGTTGGGGTTGGGGCCCCAAGTGCCCACCTGGGTAGGAAGTACACATGTGGCAAGGCTGAGACCAGGGGGTCAGCAAGGGATAGGGGAGCCTGGCAAGGCCTTTGTGTAAGCCTGCATGGTTCAGGATGGCTTCCCCAGGAGGAAGTGAAGTGTAAAGTGTAAGAAGGAAGATAGGGCATTCTAGAAGGCAAGAATCGAAGGTGCAAAAGCCTAAAGAGCAAGAACAGCATGCAGAGAACATCCAGTTGTTCCCAGGACTTCAGCAAGGGCACAGCCACCAGCAGGAGCCCAGTCATCAGAATTGAGGTGGTGGGGCAGGAGTTTTAGTGTCTGTTGGTGTGACTTAATGCTCATAAGCACTGCAGGAAGAGCAAGCAAAGTAGTCCCATATTATAGATGAGGAGACTGAGGTCTGGAGCAGTTAGATGACCTGCCTGAGTTCATGGGAGATGCAAGTGGTGGAGTTGGGTATTGAAGCAGGAGATCTAACCCCTTCCCTGACTTCCTAAAGAGCAGGGTGGACTCATTTCTCGTGGAGGGCTCTACAAAGGTTTGAATAGGGGAACAGCACAGACAGATCTGAGCTTCAGTTGGATTCCTCAGGGGCACCCCGGAGGAATGAAGCAGAAAGGTCGTGGAAGAGGTAGTTATGAGGGGGACAGAGGCCGAGGCTGGAGCAAGGGTGAGACTGTAGGAGCAGTGGAGAGGGCTTCACCAGGGCTCCAGCAGATTCATGACAGGGAAAAAGTTCATGCCCAGAGGGTCCAGCAGTGACAACCCTTCAGATCCCCAACAACTCCTACCTGGGCCAAAGGGTTTCCCATCCAGTTCTCGTGCCTCCTAGCTGGCTGTCCAGGCTCCACAATGTATGCAGCCTCTGAAGATGGAGGTTGGGGAGGTTCAGATATGCACCAGGACACTGCAGCATCTGCCCTGTATGCACATGGTCCTTGTGGTCCCAGAATCATGCAGAGTTTACAGCATCCCCCAGCTGCACAGGCCTGTCACAGAGGGGAGGGTGGCACCCCTGGGTGGTCCCCCAGAGTGGAAGGTAGCCTAGTGAGCTGCTGGTGTTTTCTTCCAGTTCCGCACCTTCGATCCCTGCAAACAGCTTTGGTGCAGCCACCCTGACAATCCCTATTTTTGCAAGACCAAGAAGGGACCCCCTCTGGATGGGACTATGTGTGCACCTGGCAAGGTAAGTCAGGACTGAGGGCTTTTTGAGGGTGACTGGAGCAGAAGGCAGGCAGCCAGCATCAGGTTGAAACTTCATGATTGAATCTTAGTGGCTTTATAAGAAGAGAGAGACCGGAAGAAACACACCTGTGCTCTCTGTCTTTGTCATGACCCTGTGCTTACAATGCCCGGGCAAATCTAGCATCTCAAATCCCTTTACTGTGTCTCAAGCCTCCAGTACATTGTGGATGACTGTGGGTCATCTCACCCTGAGGTCAGCATTGGGAGCCTATGACCACTGGGTTCCCAAGCACTGCATGAGGTTTAGCCTTTCTATCCTCTGTTTGTCCCTAATCAGGCATATTAATCCCTCAAAGTCACTAGACGGCCACCCCAGGCCCACTTCCCACCTTCCAAATCTATAGAAAGAAGGGCTTCTCCTTCCCTGTTGACCCAACCAAAACTCCAGCACTGATTCTCACTGGTTATGGTGAAGTCACATGCCTGCTCCTTGACCAGTCACTTGCCAGGAGGCTAACAGATACAAATGACCCTTAGCCTGGATTTCCTCCCAGAAGGGCTGGGCCCCACCAGAGCTACACTGGCCATCAGGGGACATCAGGGAGTAGGGAGCAAACTTCAGTGCATGTCCCATGGCATCAGACTTTCCCCAAATCACATGGGCCTACGGTTCCTCAGTGCAGGTCTTTGGTCTAGGACTGAGAGGGCTGTCTAATTTTAGTTTCTGGGGGAATGTTTTAAAGATAACAAATTCCCAGAAGGTAGGGTTTAGGAGCCCAGCATTAGCATTTTGTTTCATTTTGTTCTGTTTAAAACTATGGTAATATTCACATAAAATAAAATTTCACCATTTTAACTCACTTTTAAAGTGCACAGTTCAATGGTATTTAGTCATTCACAATATTGGGCAGCCATCACCACTATTTAGCTCTAGAACTTTTTTTTGTCACCCCAAAGGATAATCATGTCATCCTTCCTTCTTCTCCTTTCCCCTAGTCCCGAGCAACTACTAATCTACTATCCATAGAGTTGTCTACCCTGAAATTTCATATAAGTGGAATCACATGATATATGACTTTGATGTCTGATTTATTTCACTTAAAATAATGTGTTCAAGATTTGTCCATGTTGTAGCATGGATCAGTACTTCCTTCCTTTTATGGCTGAGTAATATTCCATTGCGTGGTTATACCATGTTTTGTTTATCCACTCATCCTTTGACGGACATTTGAGTTTTTCCATCTTTCGGCAGTTGTAATGTTGCACTGAACATTCTTATATTACTTTTTGTTTGAAGACCTTGGATGTGGTATTTTTAAGAAGTGCTCCTGGTGATTCAGCTGTGCCCCAAACTTAGTAAAATGTTGGAAGTGAGAGAGGAGATTTTAGTAATATTCCAGGGAGCTGGTAAAGCCAGAGCTGACCTGGTACCTCCTTCCCACAGCTGACCTGGTACCTCCTTCCAGTACAGCTCTCATGATGTAAGCATCTCTTAAAATCCAACCTCCCAACACCTTTGCAGTGGGGGTTGAGTTTCCACTTTTATGGACTATGGGGGGACACATTCAGCTCATAGCAGAAAGCAGTCATTCCTTATCTTCCCTTTCCTCTAAGGAAATCCAAGGGTCAAAGAGAAAGGAGCAAGGGAAAATCTGGCCTCGCTGGAAAAACAGCAGGTCACCAGATGAAACTATCTCAGTGACCAGGGCTTTGCCAAGCTCAGCTGACCCTCTTCATCCCCCGATCCCTGGCAGGCAGTGACACAGAGCTCAGGCTCTGGACACAGCCAGCCTTGGACCGCAGCCTCCTTTTCTGTGCTCTGTTGGGTCATCCCAAGTACATCTTGCCCCTCTTGAACTCCATCACCTCATTATTCACATTTACTCACAATTTTCCCACTTACTCACAATTTTGAGTATCCACTATTATTTCAGAGAGAAAACTCATCTGAATTGATATTCTAGACATAGAGGTAACCCAGAGAGAAGCAGCAGGTCCTACAAATGGGCCACCTGCTCCACCCTTTAGCATACAGCTCATTCACTGTGCACTCCTGGTTGGACGGTATGAGTCAGCTTTTTCCAGATCCAAACCATAGCTTAGGACTTTAACCATATGCATATAGAGCACTTTAACACCTTTAAACATGTTTCTTTTATGATCCTATGTGAGAGATCAGAGTATGACATTGTTCATCCAGAGTAATAACACTGTTAAATGCTAAGAGTTATCCAAGAGAAAATAAGCCAACATATTAAAGGGCTGACTTCCAGATGGTAGTTTTAAGGGTGATTTTCCCCTATCTTTCTGCTTTGCTTTGTTTTTCTGTTTCCTATTGTATCAGTCCTTTGTTGTTGTTTTGGTTATTGTACTGAACACTGGAGGCAGGATAACTTTTTATTATAAAGAGAAGAGGTTTATTTAGCTTACATTTCTGGAGGTTCAAGAGCAGAGTGCCTGCAATCATGAGGACCTCATGGCGGATAGTATCACTAACGTGTTCAAGAGGGAGAGCTCAAATCTCAAAACAGAAAGTCAGAGAGCACTTTAGGGGTTGGGCTCACTCTTATAACAATTCACTCTTCCGAGGGTCTCAGGGGGTTCCTAGAGAGCTGCCCTATTCTCTTCCAAGGGCAGTGACTTCAGTGACCTCTCACATGGCTCTTTCTCCTAAAGGTCTACCACCTCAACAGGGCTGTACTATGCATCAGGTCTCCCAGACATGAACCACTGGGGGCTACAACCTCATTCATACCATAGCACCTACATGTCCATGCATTGCCTCTACACATGCAGGTCCAGGGTGGCCAAGGATATAGACCCACAGGAACTGGGCAGGGTCTAAGTGTTCTTGCCTAGCTCCTAATTTCCAGGTTAGGGGCCAATGAACCCAGCCAAGAAGGGGGCCACTGTGTGACCTTTTTCAACCTCCTGGTCCCTGGTTTTAGTGGCCATCAGTGACTTGGAGTCTGCCCCAGTCAGCTTTCACAGATGTGAAGTCAGATGTGCCAGGACAGATGTCTCACTCCCTGTCTTAGTCATCTTGGACTATAAAAATACCATAGACTCAGGGAATTAAACAACAGAAAATTATTCCTCACAGTTCTGGACGTTGGGAAGTCCAAGGTCAGTCAGAGTTTCAACATGGTCCACTTTCTGGTTTGCAGGTTTCCATTTTCCCATATGTTCACATGATAGTGAGAGAGCATCTCTATCTCTTTTTATAAGGACACTAGTCCCATTTATGAGGGCCATGACTTAATTATGTCTCAAGGGCTCTACCTCTCTACACCATCACACTGGGGTTCAGGACTTCAGCACATGAATTTGGGCTGGGGTCAGGGCTAGCACAAGCATTCAGTTCATTGTGATCCCTTACCTGATACCTCTTCCTTGCTTGTCAGCCCAAGTGCTGTCATGGTGGTGGGAGATGAAGCTGGAGGAGGAAGTAGAGGTCATCCCTACAGCGCCTCTGAATCACAGTCAGAACACTAATTTCATCTATCGTAGTGGGAAACCAGCAAAAGGTTTAGAGGGAGGTACAGAGGTGGATTTACCATGAAGCTTATGATGCTTAAGCTTTGGGGCCCCTCACTTGCATGAGCTCCTTCCAAAGCCCTTGGAGGGGCCTAGCAATGTACTCCCCTGGTCATATGTTTTTGTGAATTTTGCAAAAGTAAGATATTTTCACCAGCATCAATGGAGATCACTTCTCTTTTCACTTCTATTTCCCCTTGATACACTTCTTCCGTTGGCTGGCATTAGAGTGACCAAGAGCATTTTGCAGTTTGAGCTACAGAGAAATTAGATTTGGGTTCTAATTATTCATTCATTTATTTACATGATTCTCAGTTTCTTACATTAATAATTAAATTATTATGTCCACCCAGTTGTAAGAGTAATTTCCAGAAGTACTCTGACTACCACTCTGCCAGGTTATCCAAGGTCAAAGCAGACCATGTGCTGGGTTTAGCTCGTTTTCCTCAAATTGTTTTGAGAAAAAGATACCTCAGCTGTATCTGAGGTCAGCACTTGTATGTTTATGATAAGTCATTTTCTTTAGGGGCTTGTCTTTTAGATGGAGTACCTTAAAGAAATCCAGTATGCATATTTCTTTAGAGAGGCTACAGCTTCACAAGATAATCTGTTGCTTAAAAGATGTCATAGCCTCACAACATATGTGTGACAAACTAATAATAATAATAATAAGCTCTAAGATAAATGCGCAAAGACCAGAGAGAAACCTGGATGAAAACGAGGTGCCAAGATGTTGACAAAGCCTTAAAACACCTCTTGAGTTGCAATTTTAAGAGTTATCTTGGAGTGCTTCAACAAAATAAGGGAGAAATTACAGACTTCTGGTTTGCATGTGTGTATGTAAAATGACCTTCTTTTACCATTTTCAAATTATTTATTAAAAGAAAGAAAGTTCACATAAAAACAGGTAAAGAGAAAGAAACCAATAGAAATAACTCTGACTTCAAAACGTTAATTGTTAACAATAACAAAAAGGTTTCATATCAAACCCCAGTCCGTCCGTCAGTCATTAGGAGGTAGAGATCCAGATCAGAGAGGTAGCAGGCAGGATCTTGGAGTGTTTGACAGTCCAATTAATGAAGAGAAGTGAATATGATGAGGACACTGGAAAAACATTTAAACTTCTTTCTAATTTGACATGAAATGCCGACAACATCAAAGACAGAATGAAGCTCAGAATATTGCACCGACAGCAACACTTACTGAGCGTTGCTAATCCAAAGAGTTCTGACTGAGAGAACTCTGTCCTCTGAAATCCACATCAAGGAAACCAGACAGCAGTTTCTTTATTTATTTATTTATTTATTTATTTATTTATTTTTAATTTTTTATTGTGGGTTGTTCAAAATATTACAAATTTCTTGACATATCATATTCCACACTTTGATTCAAGTGGGTTATGAACTCCCACCTTCACCCCATACACAGATTGCAGAATCACATCAGTTACACATCCATTGATTT